ATGGAACCTTCAAAATTCTCAAGACATCTTCAAGTCTTAAAGCTCTACCCTCCTCTACCATCCATCTGGCTCGCTAATTAAAAATATTTTACTGTGATTTATCCCAACACTGGCCTTCTCACCTGATGTCAAACACCTTGTCCATATATATTATCAGGCAGCTTTAGCATTTGGCACCTTCTTACCTGAACTAACACATACAGACAGTTTCCTGGGAACTTGTATTTCAGTCCATCAAATGTCAAGTAATGAGCAGTGCCAATGACAGTGCAGGTGCCATCACAGAGGTTTTTGGTGCACTCCCACTTCCTGCCCTGGCACACGCTGTGACAGAGAGAACAAGTCAGTGACAATTATCATTATGGCAATGTATATAATAAGCAGCTGACATCATAACAAATAATAAGACTTTAATAACATAATAAGAAATATCTTGCTTGAAGGTGGCAAAATATTAATCTACTAAACACTCTATGACAGACACCATCACTGCCCCAGGAATTTTCTAATCAAGCTCTGTTAAGGGCAGGGAAGGGGGAATTCTATCTGTGCTTTACAGACATAAAATCTCATGGATGAAGAGCCTGAAATACTTTCCCAAGATCAAACTGCTACCCAAAGAAAAACCAGGCACTGGGCCGAGTTCCCCAGTAATGCCTTAACCCAAACGCAAGCATCGTTTATAATCTTGGTGACATTTCACATTACAATAAATATTCTGCAATGCACTTTCTCCAAAGAACGAAACTTCAGTAATATGAAAACCATTACACCCTCTGATATTAAATTTCTGCTAACAGTTAGAGCAAGACCAAAGTTTTGCATATATAAGATAATAAGGTACGTGGCGGGGCAAAATTCAGATTAGCAGATTTCTGCTTCCTAAGTGTTGCTCCAAAACTTCCACTGAGCTCTGCAACCAATTCCCAATCCATTGCATAACAAAAGCTTTGCCACTGGCTTAGACTTGGGAGACATTCCGTTGTTCCTGAATTAGGGCCTCCCATATGTCAGGCTGGATGTAAACGCCAAATCTGACACCTCTGGCTCGTATATTGCCTTTGCAGGTGTTCACATCTGGCTAGGAACAAGTGAGAATGAGAACTCCTGCAACAGCAGTACAAAAAGCAAAAAAAAAAAAAAAAAAAAAAAAAAAAAAAAAAAAAAAAAAAAAAAAAAAAAAAAAAAAAAAAAAAAACAAAAAACACCAAAGGGAAAGGAAGATCTGACCTCCAAAATGCAGACTCTCGATTCTTATTAATTCTCAAAGCAACAGTAATTTCCTATATCACTTTCTAAACAACATTTGACTTGATATTTGCTGAGAACTATCATGAAACTTTGCTGAGAACTATCATGAAACTTTTCAGAGACACGTAGTTCAAAAAAACCCCAGTGACATTTTTTTGAGGGAACCTACTTTCCAATTTTACTTTCACATACAAGAAAAATACCTAAAATGTGAGGGAGGACTTTTCATCAATGGGAAAAAAACCTGATTTCCAACATTTTCTCAACCTGACATTGAAGGAAACTCTGTGTATTTGAGGAAATGTCACTCACAACAGGCCGTCACAAGAATGAAGCAACGTGGTTCTGACTATTTTGAGATCAAAGATTGCAAGAATGACTGAAAACAGAAAGACTGTGCATGGTTATGATGAAGAATCTTGCAAATTTCACAACAACACCTAAGAGTTTTACTCTTCTTGTTTTCAGTAAAATTTTCATTGTGTCTGTTTTTCATCTCAGTCACTTTTACCTATATGAAATGTAAGTAGGTTATAGTACTTGTAGCTACACAAAATAATCAGCTTCTCCTCCACCTTTCTCCCTTTCAACTCTACTTTTCCCCAGGTTTAATTACAGTGGATGATTCACAACGTTATATGTAGCTACAAAGGAAAGAAACGAAACAAAACAAAACACTGAAAGGTCAAAATTTCCATATAAAACCTCAATCCAAGTCTAACTTACACCAGTTAGGAGCAGTCCCACTAGTTTAGGAATAAAAGACTTGAAATCACTGTTGCTCAGAGGTCAGGGTAGCAAAATAAAAACCAAGCCAGAAGACTCTTCAGCAGTGATTCCCTGATCCAGCTCCACCCAGTCATGCCGGGAACTCACAAACTTTGTTCCTGGGGTGCCAAAGAGCTGGGCAGGGACATTTGGGATAGAATTTATGACAGGTTCTGAAGCGTAAATTCAAGGAAAACAGAGATTTCACACTGCTGGTGACTCAGTGTCCTTCACCTTGGACTCCTGGAACTCTGCAGGGAAGAGTCAACATTCCCTACACACGCACGTGGAAAACAAAACACTTTCAGTGCAGGCAGAAGCCAAGAGTGGCAAATAAATTCTACCTCACCAAAGGCTGTGCTGAGGGCTTCCCTTCAGGCAAATCGAACAGCCCAGCACCTTCTTCTGAACCTATAGATTTTTTTTCATGGACCACACAGCATGAGGGTGAAAGACATGGAGCATTTTTTTTTCTTCTGAGCTCTTTTCTCCCCCCAAACATCAACAGCCTGAGCACTCTTTAGAGATATAACAGGTCAACTCTGTCTCTGCCTAATTCTTTAATATTTTCCTGAAGGGCATCTATCATATTATAGCTGGCACACCGCACCCCTTCTGCTGCTGCAGCTTCTGGCTGAAAGAAAGAAAAAAAAAAAAAAAAGGGAAACCCAACAGCAAAGCTTTGTAAGGTACCAGGCCCAGGTTGCCGGGTATTTCCAGGAGTTTTGCTGGATCTTCATGCAACGTGCAAAGGGAATGTGATGGTCTGTGCAATACATGCTGCAAAAACCCAAATTCCTATAAAACAGACCCGTTAAGGCAACAATATCTGGTGCCATTAGAAACAATGTCAGGTGCCCAAGGAAAGGTATGTTCCAGTGGCTCACCAGGTGTTGCAGTCCTTGGTCACCGTCTCTCCCTTGGCATATTCCCTTCCATTGTGGAAACACGGGCACCTCTCGGGAGCAACGCACCGGTTTTCATGTCTCACCTACCAAAAAAAACACCAGGGTTTGTCACCACGTGGGTGTGTGGGCACCCATCCCTACAAAGGGGAGTAAAGAGGGAGATCATGTGGATAAAGAATAAAGGAACTGAGAGACAAAATGGTTCAAGACCATCTAAAGTAAGAAAGGTGAAATACTTCTAATTTTTTTTCCCCATAAACAGAAATAGAACTATGGGTACATATATTCCATCTTGCTCCCACCAGCTTGAGCTGCTGGGGGAATGGATTGGATTATACAAGAATGGCACGATGAGAAAGTCCAATTTGGCCCCAAGCAGGATGCAGTGGGGATAGAACAGGCTACAAACACAAACACAGAGAGCAGGTGAACAGCACATGCTTGTCACACACAGCAAACCCAAGGAAGGTCTACCAGAAATGCAGCCAGGCACAGGGCTCAGCTGGACTAAAAAGAGTTATAGGATCGCTGAGGAGGAGACCAGGAGCCGCAGTGCAAGAAGAACCCACGTGCAAATGCAGATCCTGTTGTCACAGACAACAGACCCTTAACAAAGCCCACTCTCCCCTGTCAGCTCCCCTCTGAAAATGGCAGCAATCATTCATTTTTTTTCAAATCCTTACTTATTTCCTAGAAGGCAAAATATGTATCAATCCACTCGAGATTTTATTCCACCCTCACAAGCTCAGTTTGCTGGGAAATAGGTCATTATGTACTATCTACCTTTTTTTCTTTTTCAGTTTTACCCTACTGATCTTAGTTTCTCTTTGCATAAAAACAAATAATTTTTCCTGCTTAAAAAAAAAAAAAATCTAAAGCAAAATGACAATAAAACCCAACCAAACAAAACCAAAACTCCCATAACCAAACAAAACCAAGCAATGCCTTTAGACTATTTGGGTTTTTTCCATTCCTTTTCTGTTTTCTTTTTCTGTGATTACTTTCCATTTTGCAGATACCTAGCTTTACAGAATCAAACACAACCAAAACTGGCTACGCTGAATTTTCACTTGGTCATGGTTCTGCAAAGTCAGGGATAGGTTTGGCTCTCGCTTCACGGAATACCTAAATGGAGAGCCCTTCCCCTTTCTCTCATTCAAAAGTCACAAAATATCACCTTCCCACTTTAAACTCCTTCAGGAAAATCATTAAAATAGTTTCTTTTTTACCATTAAACACAGACAAATGAGCTCAATGTCGTCTGAACGCCAGGTTAATAAAGAACAAATCTGACTTTTCCTGTGGGGACCTAGAACTGCCACATGGAGCAACTCCTAAGAAAGATTTCACAGCCCA